CCCCTAAATTCAATCCCCAGTACCTTAAAAAAAAAAAAAGTAAGGTAAGTTAAAAGTCTAAAATAAAGAGTCAACGGCCCTTAACACCAGGGCTAACAGGTTATGTAGGTCATAGCATCTGGCCCACTTTTGGCAGCCACCATCCTCAACTCCCTCTACTCCAACACCTGGGTTTGCCTGTGCTACCATAACAGAAGTAGAATCAGAGCTATCAACAATATCTGCTGTTAAAAACAAAACTTTTACCTCCAAGCAATGTTCAAATTAGCAGTCCACTGGAATGCTATTTCTACATATAACAATGAGGTGCTTGCAAAGTTAGAGCTGACAAAAACAGTATGGTATGAAATCTCACAACCCAATAAGAAAGGTCAAGGTAATCCAGGGCACTCCCACTTTGTCACATTGCTACATACACAAAACTCCAAAAGCACTTTCTAATGAGCATTTTAGTAAAGGATTTTGAGTACTATTAGACTCAATGTTATTTCCTTTGGTGGGGAAGGGTGGGAAGTGATACTGGGGACTGAACCCATGTAAGGAGGCAAGGGCTCTAACCACTGAACAACACTCCAAGACCTTTATAAAGGTTTATTTTGAGACACTATCTTATCCTAAATTGCTCATGCTGGCCATGAACTTGTATTCCTTCCATTGGCCCCAGCCTCCTGAAAAGCTGGGATTTATAGGCAAGCACTACCATGCTCAAAATATTATTTTCCCTTAAGACTACATTGAACATTCACTAGAATTTTGTCAAGTTCATTTTTTTTTTTTTGAGAGAGAGAGAGAGAGAATTTTTTAAAATTATTTATTTTTTAGTTTTCGGCGGACACAACATCTTTGTTTGTTATGTGGTGCTGAGGATCGAACCTGGGCCGCAGGCACTACAGCTCGAGCCACATCCCCAGTCCTCAAGTTCATCTTTTTAAAAAAATATTTTTTAGTTGTTGATGGATATTTATTTATTTATTTATTGTACTGAGAATTGAACCCAGTGCCTCACACATGCTAGGCAAATGCTCTATCACTGAGCTACCACCCAAGACCTCAAGTTCATCTTTTATTCCTTTTCTAAAACCCCAATATTAAAGGTGTAATTTAGTCTCTGAGTATTAATTTAAGGAGATGGTCACAACTTTGAGATCAGCCTCTTGACAAGACCCTTAGCAACTTAGCAAGACCCTGTCTCAACATAAAAAATAAAAAGGAATGGTGATGTATTTCAGTCAGTTGTAAAATGCCTGTGCACTCAATGCCCAGTGCCAAAAGAAAAATTCAGATGATATCTATGGTAGCCTGCTGTCTCAATTTATTCTTTTTTAATAACTGAGATTTAACTAGCCACAATGGCTGCTCAGCTACAGACTAGATTTCCTTGCTTTCCCCATGTAGCTAAAGTATGGCCATTGAAATTTCTCTAAGGTTGACAGGTATGGTGGCGCACACATGTAATCCCAGAGACTTGGGAAGGTGAGGCAGGAAGATCGCAAGTTCAAAGTCAGCCAGACTTAGGGAGATCCTGTCTCAAAAAAAAAAATAATAAAAAGCCTGGGAATATGGTTCATCGGTTAAACATCCACAGTTTCAATCCCTGGTACAAAACCGAAATCCAACTCCAATGTATGATAAGCAAAACACTAATGTTTACATCTTTCTCATCACTCGCTTGGCTTTCTCTTTCTCCTTCCCTCCCTTCCCCCTCACCTTGCTTCAGGTTAAGATTCAGCCCTGCAAGTGATGACTGTTTTTGACAAAACTTAGAGGAGAAAGAAACAATAACTCAAAAGGAATTCTGATCTGAGTTACCATAAGGTTTGAGAGAAACTTCTAATATGATTAAAGCATTATACTTTAGGATCTTCATTACATTAGCTTAGCTTATACTAATGAAAATAAAACTCAACACCATAATGGGAACCCAGAAAGGATATTTATGTATTTTAAGCAAGATACCAACTCAAGGTTTCTCAGACCAGGTTTTTAACTGACATGTTATTGTTACTATTATTATTCCTTTTTTCCACCCAGGGCTGAGGATAGAATTCCAGGGCCTTACTCCAGGCTTTACCAGCTAGGCAAGCATTCTGCCTCTGAGCTAAACTTCTAACCTCCTATTATTATTGTGAGATGAGATATTGCTAAGTTGCCCAGGTTACCCTCATATTGCTGGGCTCAAGCAATCTTCCTACCTCAGCCTCTTGAGTAGCTGGGACTGTAGGCCTATGCCATTGCACTCAGCTTTTTAACTAATTTGTTTTATTTTTTTTCCTGCGTTGGCAATCAAACCAGGGGTGCTCTGCCTGAGCTACATCTCCAACCTCAAATTTGCAATCCTCCTGCCTCAGCCTCCTTAGCTTCTGGGTTACAGGCATGCACCAACCACGGCCAGCTAGACTCCTTTCTTTTTAAATGTGTGTGATGTCAGATCTTTTTTTTTAAAATTATCTGTAACAAAACACTTTACAACATTAAAGCTCCAGCTGAGGAAAACAGTACACAGGTAATTGAAAGAATATTCAAATATTGGTGTGTACTTTTTTATCAGCAAAAACTGAAACATGAAAAAATAGGCTGTTCTTTTCAATTTGGTTCAATGTGAGTCTGAGAGAGTACCTGGCACCCTGCCATCCACTGCCCACCTGCCATGCTGGGAACTGAAATATGGGCTTAATGCATGCTAAGCACATGCTCTACCACTGAGCTACATCCTCAGTCCCTCAAAAATATTTTAGAATTATCAGAAGATCCCTTTATTTTCTCTAAAAAGTCCTGTCAACTGTTGACTTCCAAATCTATTACCTCAAGGGGGCACAATGCTGGGTTTCAGAGCTATAAATCCATAGAATTCATTCCGTGACATGTGCTCTAGGGTCCTTTCATGACCTGCTCCATCAATTTTCTTCATTCTCTATATCTTTTATCAGTCTCAATCTATCCATCTTCCCCTTCTTGATGTTTCTCATCATAGGTAAGTCTCTCCATCTCAAAAAAACAAGCAAGCAAACAAACACTAGACCTCCACATTTCCCCCCTATATCTAATTCTTTCTTTCAAGGCTTTAACATTTTCGTTTTCTAGTACCAGGGACTGACCTCAGGGATGCTTAACCAATGAGCCACCCCTCAGCCCTTTTTAATATTTTGTTTATACAGGGTCTTATTGAATTGCTAAGGGCTTCAATAAGTTGCTGAGGTTGGCCTTGAACTTAGGATCTGTTAGGTGCAGGACAGGCTGAGTAAGCTGTCTGCAGGGCTTGCCAAACAAAGTTAGCTGCAGGCTGACCTGGCCACTCAAACCCTCTGTCTGGTTCTTTTTC